CCCAGACACTCTCGTTAAAAACATAAAAGACCTCTATAGACGTCTTTGGCAGCCAATGAGATTAAATGTAAACTTACACCTTAACCAGCTGGTAATTTTTCTGCACTTTATCTGCCCAGAAAGTTCAAAAGAAGTGTATTTTCTTTAAGTCAGATTTATGTGACAAAGGGCAAAATCTAAATGTTTTTTTTGGGGTACAGAGCTTTTAATGAGTGTGTTCATCTTTAATCAGACTGTGTTCTGCTGCATACTTTGAAAAATTGAAAACAGTGCTGTTTCAAAGCTAGACAGCATCCATGAATCTGAATTTATTCTGTTTTGTTTTGTTTTCCCTAAATAAGCCCCAGACAGCTTTCCCAGAGGAATGAAGGGATGGGGCTCCAGGAAGGACAACATGGAGATCAGCTGGGAGGTAAGTGTGTAAGAGGATGGAAACACAATCACAGGTGGTGTGAGAAGAAGAGGGAAAATCAAGCTATTAGTTAAATATTCTCTATTTAAGTGCACAGCAAAATACTCGTTTTCGGAATACTTATTATGAGAAATCTGCCAATTTATTTTGTAATGAATAAACTTCCAGATTTAGACGACCTGTCTTTTACTCCGTGAACATGGGAGGTTACTTAGTGTTAGTTTTGGTTCTTTAGTTGGAAGCCTGAGAATAAACCAGATAACAGATCAAGAGTACAAATATGAGATGTATTGGTCCCCAGCAGAGTAAAGCAGCTGGGCTCTCACAGACAAAGGGTACAGCTGAAGAAAAGTAAAAAATCCGATATTCTAATATTTTGAGATAGGATATTTGGGTTTCTTAAGCTGTACGCCATAATCAGCTATATTAAAACAATAAAAGGCTTGTGATATTTCAGTTGATTTGTAATGAATCCAGAATGTATGACATTTCATGATTTTTAATTGCATTACAGAAAATAAAGAACTTTATCACAATATTCTAATTTTCTGAGACAGTCCTGTATATCTACGGTTAAAAACAGTTTAGCATGTTGTCAACCCGATTCTTTAGTTGGAAACCTGAGAATAAACCAGAGTAGATCAAGAGTAAAAAATGACATTTATTGGGTCACAGGTAAAGTATTTCAGCGCTGGGCTCTTCACAGAGGAAACCCCTCAAAAGGAGGACTGGACACAACCAAATCCTATTGGTTGGTTACCTCTAAGACTAACAAGCCGGATCGTAAATTCATGTTGGTGACATTGCAATATGATACCAAATGGTGTGTGTATGTGTGTGTTGACTTAAAGACGTGGATCTAATGCAACAGAGAAAGAAAAGAGAGAAAGAAAAGAGAGAGCAAAGAGAATCTGTGGTTACAGCCAGAGACTTCATATAGATATGAAAGAAATAAAACAATCAGTAATCTACATAGATCATGTGATAGCAAACAATGCTAAAGTGTGTATTTATAACCAAATCCTAACAATGTGAAGGGGGAACTAATCTTTTGGTTCCACAGGCCATGTTGTTGCCCAGGGGGCCGGTTTGATTTGATTGAGAGGCTTAATAGCTTTGTGTTTCCTTGCGTTTGTGTTTCCAGCCCCTGCTGGATCTGGAGAGGCACGGCCAGAATCTGCACTACAACCTGTGGTGGAGGCGGAAAGACTCGGCGGAGGAGTGGACCAACGTGACCACGGCCCAGTCCAGCTTCGTGGTGGACGACACGGAAACCTACGTGCCTTACGAGATCAAGATCCAGGCCAGGAACGAGTTCGGAGCCGGACCGGAGTCCAACGTGGTCATCGGATACTCCGGGGAGGACAGTGAGTTCTGCTTCTGGGAACGAGAACCGCTTTGGTTCCATTTCAGGAAAAGCATCATCATCATCGTCATGCAGCCTCTCCACTTTCAGTTCAATTAAATGTTATTTACAGTGGGGGAAATAAGTATTTGACCCCTTGCTGGTTTTGCAGGTTTGCCCACTTACAAAGAATGCTTATTTTTCCTCATCAGATGGTTATCAATTTTTATAAATTCATATGATGTGATTTTCTGGAATTTTCTTTGGGATTCTGTCTTTCACTGTTAGAATGTACATAT